GGATGCAGCAGGGGTTTGTCTGAGTCCTGTTTTTGAACTGGTGGCAAAAATCTCTTTAGAAAAGGATCATGATGAGGCAGTTATTCCCCACTGTCAGCTTGGAGCCTAAATTATGAATCAATCTGTTTCTGTGGTCTCTTATATAAGGCTGGGTATCACTGTCAGTCCATAATGCTTAAACTAGGAAAAATGGAGCTGGAGAAGGTGGAAACAATTCTAGGCAAATGGCACTTTTGTACTTTGCTTAAGGAAAGGATTGCAAGTGCTGAACTGATATGTAGAGACCTTTTGTAGATTCACAGCATGCCAGATTAGTGCTTACTATTTGAAAAGATAGCTGGAATAGCAATCTATTCCATGTTTTTATTTTTCATAATTTATAGTCTGGATATTTCCTTCATTGTCCTGGCCCTTTGGAATCCAGTTCAGTTTCTGGCTTCTCTGATTACCTGTGTCACTAAGTTCTGTAGCCTAATTACATCTTTTGTTAGAAAGTGATTCCTTTTCCTGCTTTTGAATTTTTTGCTGTGGATCATTCACACATCTCCTGTAAGGCTTCTTAGCCATCTTTAAGCTCCAGCATCTAAAGCTGGATCCTAAAATGGGCTGATCCACACATTATTGTAAAGATGATATTTTCACTTTCACTCTCTTTTTCTCATGCATCCTGTCACCATTACAGCTGTGACTGCACCCTGTGTAGTGAACTCAAGCCTTCACTTTGCAGGTAGTGAAACTCTTCACTGGTGGCCTCTCCTAGGTGGAATTTAGAGCACTGAGTCTAAATTCTAAGTGGTGGCACCCAGGTCCCTTGAATATTCACTGTTGGTTAAGTTTTAGCCTGATTCAGATTTAAATTTGGGCTGGCTTCTTTTTAACCAGCATCACTATAAATACCCAGAATGTGTTTTTTCAGAACTCAGACAAAAATTTAGATCTCTGTGATACATGTGAGGATTTTCTCTTACATGTTATGTAGCTGCAAATTTAACTGGCCATTTTGCTGCATGTTCACCCAGCTTTTTCCTCTTTCTCTGAAGAATCTCAACATTCCTTTTATCCTAACTACCATAAATTAATTGATCATTGGTAGACTACTCTGTCTCATTTCTATCTTTCCAAAGAAAATTAAAATATTCAGTGGAACACAAGCACCAGGTAGCCTTGCCTGGTCTTCTACCATGATTACACCAGGTGTGTCCCTGAGAGGGGACATTCAGCCTTTCTTGAAGCAGTTGCAGGCTTCACAGGAACAAATCCCTTCCAGTACTTGAAGGGACAAAGATGGAGAGAAGTTTTCTACAAATGTAGTGTCAGAACAAGGGGAAATAGCTTCACACTGACAGAGAGCAGGTTTAGATTGGCTGTTAGGAAGAAATTGTTGCCTGTGAGGATGGTGAGGCCCTGGCACAGTTGCCCAGAGAAGCTGTGGCTGCTCCCATGCACTTTCCTGAAAAAACTTTTGTCCCTTTTCAGTTTGTGAATGGCCTGGTTCTTCCTACAGCCACCAGAGTCATTAACAAGGCTGTCTCACCATGCTACCCTGTTAGTTCTGCCAGCCTCCATGAGTCACAGCAACAACTCCCACAAGCAGCACCTGTGCAAGTCACACACTGTCAGACTCAACACTGCCTTGTGCCAGCCTAAATTTGCCTTTGTAATAGGCAAACCTGACCCGATGCTGCATTTCAGGAGGGGATTTGCTGTTGTTTCAATAAAGCCTGTGTTTTTCTGATGGGGAGGTGCTCCTGGTCTACATTCCCAGTTCAGAGAGCAAAAGTCTGTGCTCACACAGCCTGTGTGGGAGCAGGAACAGAGGAAAGGCAATGCCACAGAAAGATTGCTCTGATTCTGCTGAACATACCAAGGCTGGTCTAATTAAGCTGGAGGTGAAGGAGTTAATATAGGCCTTGCCATGGCAGCCAAAGGGTGCACTTTAGGAATTTGCCAATATCTTACTCAAAACCACAAAGTCCCAGTCCTGACACAGTAGAAGACACTTGGTTGGTGGTCTCTCATTTTTTCTTTTTCATGGGGGTCAGAACTGAGCTCAGGGCTCAGTTTAGACATTTTGGATAGCACAGTTCAAGTGTAGGACATTGATCTCTGCCAAGAACTTAAAACTGAATCCAGCCACCACAGAATCGGGTAGTTCCTTAGGAAAGTTTGTTGGACTTGTCAGTATTGACACTGGATTTCAGATGTATATTTGCTTAATTACTCTTTTGATAAAACCCCTTATTAAGCAAGTCTGCTCTCCATCTGGTGCTGATCTGACTTAAAATACAGCAAGATTGGCAACTCATTAATTTATGGACAGGATAAGTATAAAATTTGCATAAATCAGTTAATACTAGAAAGTACAAAATTTGTAGTTTCTTGAAAAAGCAAACTGTGAACCTTTCCTCTTAGGACAGAAAATCTTTGTGAGATGAAGAAATATCTCACACGTTTCTTATGACAAAATATCGAGTAGTGATATTTGGGTTTTTCAGATTCCTTACCCATTGATTCTTGTTCTAAATATAGAACTATACTTGTCTTGAAACTGGTCACACGTTGTGTTCAAGGCAAAATTCCTGCTCTCTAATGATGTGGGTTTATTTTTAAGCCTTTAATCTTGCATCAATAATTTTAAGTGCTTTTCAGTGATGCTCTGAGTGAGGAACTACCATCCTTCTTTGTTGTTTTCAGTGCCAGATGACATTTATATCCAATGGTAGGCATTCATTTGCCATGAAGATTGAGTTCCAGGAATGCAGTGTATAGATGTGAGGCAATTTTGATCATTGCTCTCTGGAAATCATAGTGATTATATGCATTTTAGTAGTTAGTTTACCCTCTGGATTGCAACTCCTTCTTCTGAATCATTAGAAGGAAATCACACTAGTTTTATTTTTTTTTCCTGGAATATTAAAAATCTTGTTTAAAATGAACCACCCTGCTCTAGCTTGTAGGAACTGCAGGTTACCATCTGTGAGAGGTGGCAAAGAGTTCATCTCCCATATGATTGAGGAAACCTTTGCCAGAGAACTCAGGATTGAATCAGAAATGTTTCCATGAAAAATGTATCTTCCAAACACCTAACATCCTCCAGAAAAAAAACAGTTAATGGAGAAAGTCCCTTGCTTTGCTCTATTCCATTTGGCAAAAGTGTCCCTGCATATTCTTTTCCTTGTGTTTGGAAAAGACTGGAAGGAAGTGCAGAGACCAGCTCCACGTGAATGAAAAGCTGCTCCTTGCAAGTAATTTCCTGACTGTTCTGAGTGATGGCTTTCACGGAATCCTTAGGGCTGGAAGGGACCTCTGGAGCTCATCCAGTCCAACCCCCCTGCCCAGGCAGGGTCACCCAGAGCAGGTGACACAGGAACACATCCAGGCAGGTTGGGAATGTCTCCAGAGGGGGAACTCCAGGCCCTTCCTGGGCAGCTGTTCCAGTGCTCTGCCACCCTCAGTGGAAAGAAATTCTTCCTTGTGCTGAGACAGAACTTGTGTTTAGTTCATGGCCATTGCTCCCTGTCCTGTCATTGAGCACCACTGAAGACAGCCTGGCCCCGTCCTCTTGACATCCTCTTTGAGATATTTTTATGTCTTTTCCTGACCTTTTGTGCACCTCAGGTGATAAGACAGAGGCTGAGAAGTAAGATATGGAAAGGGTTCCTCTGGATTCATAGAACAGCTTAGAACAGCTGCAGACAAAGACAGGTTCAGGACAGGAGATTGCAGATCAGGACAAACCTTACTCTAAAGGACTGCTGACAGGTGTTTGACAGCAAAAACTTTAGTATCAAGGAGCCTCTCTGTTAAACAGAAAGCTCACAGCTGGACACTGCTGCATTAACAAGATTTTCTCTGGCTGCTCCAATTCCCTTCAGCTTTTTTTTTTTTTTGTAATCATCTTTCAAACTGCAGCAGCATTTGTTGTCATGAGGTGCTGATTCCAGTGTTCCAGTGGAAGAGATTTTAGTGGAAGCTTCTCCTGCAGTGTGCACAGGCTTCATTTCAGGTCAGTAATCACATCCTCCTCAGCCTCTCCTGGGGCTCTCACATTGATCATCCTCCAGCTGGAAGAATTGTCTGAGAGGAAGGGCATGACTGTTGTGTTGAGGTCACATTTCTAGACTGAGGGTGGACTGAGGGAAGCTTCTGCCCTTTGGATTCGGGGGAGACCTGGCATTTGGATGTGGTGTGGGTGTGCAAGCTGTCATCCTTCCTGCTCCATCACGCTCATGTGTCCCCCTCCGGGCAGCCAGTTATGCTGGGAAGAGACAAGAGGAGAGGGCAGAGCATGTGATGGGTGCCTTGAGCTGGTGTTTGGATTCTGAGCAACAAAGTCTCTTCTGGATGAGGCTATGTCACCAACAAAAGGCTCATTGACTGTTCTGAGTCATCATCAAGAGTCCATGCAAAGGACTTGAGTTGATGTGAGGGGGTAGGAAGTTTGCCCTGGGACAAATCTGGAGAACAAAATATCCACAGAAATAAAACATGCTTTATGTTTTCCAGTGCTACCTGGAGAGCCAGATGGGAGCAAAAACAAAAAGCAGGAGGCCAGGGGATTTAAAAGTTTGTGAGAAAGGGCTCTTTGACATCTTTTGCTACCTTTTCCTGGGAAAGCTGGAATAACACTGTGGATCACAAGTGATCCTTCTGCTAAACTGCCTCTAGAACCAAGCTGACACCTACCTTCTCAGCAAAAAAGGGCATTACTTTGGCTAGATACACTCGAAGGTACTGGAGAGCCCATTGCTTCAGTACCTGTATGAGGGGAATCTTGCTACTGAGTAGAATTTCCACAGCTGAGTTAGGATTTTATTCCCCTTTCCCCAGATAAATGCCTTTTTTTTGGTAAACATTCTGTGGACAAGGCTTCTTTGGCACCTTTCAATAAAGTTCATTTTTTGAAATGGCAGGGCAAAAGAGGAGGAAACATGTAGATTGAGATTTATCTGTTATTTTCTAGTATGAATATTTTTTTTGAAGAATGATACGGTGTCCAGTTGCTGCTTGAAGTACTCCCTCTAGCCTAGAGAATATTTGCTTGTTCACATAAAGAGCGAACCTTCTGTGCTGTTGGCTTCTGACTGGTTTGGAAATGCCCTCAGGAAGATGGAGATGGAAGTTCAGATAGAGGGAAAGGAGGGAATTTGGATTCTTGAGCAGGGGCTGTCATCACTCCATGAAGAGGTAAGAGAAAATAATTATGCTTCCTCTGATCAGCCTAATTTCTGGGAGGATGTGGAATTTAGGTTCCTAACTGGCAAACTCCGTGTTACTTCTGGATTTAGAGAGAAGCCAGAGTCCAGGCACTTGGGGAACTGAATCCCCTGGGAAGTGCAAGGGCAGGATTCTACGGCAGGAAACTGTACTGGGGTTTTGATATTCTGCATTTGGGATCACCATAGCTGTATGTGCAACTAGTAAGGATTTCAACATCCAATTCCTGTTGTGACCTGGCCTTCCCATCCCACATCAGGGGATTGTGGTTTGGCCTCAGGAAGCATCAACCCTGCTAGTGCGGCATCGAGGACCATATCCCTGTGGTGATAACCAAGAAACATGTAAGGAACAGCTCTTTTACTCATCTTGAATTACATTCACCTGTCTCTCAAGAGCCCTTTTCCCCCTCACAGGTTGAGCCCTGTAGTTTTACTTAAGGCTGGTGCAGTGCCAGCTATCCATGAGATTGTCTGGAACTGGGACTTGCATCCAGACATGTCACTAAGGCTGTGAAAACAAGGAAGAACTGCAACCCTTACAAGTGCTGAAGACAGTTTGCAACAGCCAGAGGAGGTGTGTGATAAACCAGTAAATTCTGCTGCCTCTCTGTGTTTTCCAGAGTGACCTGGAGCTCAAGCAGTAGTGATGTTCTCCAGACAGCTCTCCACGGCTTCCCTAAGACACCAGTGAGCCACGAGACTGAGGCAGAAATTCCAGTGTGGGGAGGGTGTGAGTCATGAGATGGTGAGTGAAGGAAATAGCGGGATAAAAATAACAGAGCCCAGTGTGATGCAGAATATTAATCTCCTGCCCTGTGTTATCCTCACTTGTACTACAGGCAGCACTCTGCTGTAGTGTAGATGCTCTGCTGCTCAAAACAGATCCCTCTGTGCTACTCAGAAAGATTATGGCTCAGGATGCCAGATTGCAGGGACTCCTAATACTCATGCCCTCAAGTTGGCTGAAAATTCTTAATCACGACATTCCTGCTGTAGAAAGTACGTAATCAAAGAGCGTCAAAACGCTACATTCATATTTTTCATGTTTACATGGAAATGTAAATTTCAGTTAATTAAATTTGAATTTCAGTTAGTTTGACATCAGCTGAAAAAAATTATTAATTCAAAATTTAAATGACTGAAGTCCATCTCATTTTCCAACCTTTTTTTTTCCTCTCCTTCTTCCTTCAAAAGGAGAAAAGAAAGGAAAAGAGTATGAAAATACCATGAAAAACCAACATAATACTCAAGTTTGATTCTAGCTAACATAAATCAGTAGGAGGAAAAAAGGAAGAAAAGTAGAATTGGTAAAATAAAATTAAAAAAGAAAGCACCAAGTATTTTATTTTGAGATGTGAATCTCTCTTTTTCTACTCAAATCTGCCATCAGATCTGATAAGCCTGGTTCCGAGATCATTCACAACCAAATCAGGATCCCTTCTAGGGAGCATTTCCAGCTCAGCCATTGTGAGGTTTCTAACCCAGTCCTCTTGACATTTCCTCTAATCACTGGACAGTGATCTTCAGAGAGCTCTTGGGAGCCTAGGAAACCTCTGATATTTTTCAATCCAGCCTGGAATCTGGGCACCATAAAGACAGGAGGAGCTTTTCCTTTAACTTCAAAGGTGTCAACTCTGGCACTGAGGCTTCACTGCAGATTAACATGTGGGGAGCTCTTCTTACAGAAACTGCCTTTGGTATTTCAGAGTGGGGAGAACTGTTTATTTCATTTCACACAGATTCACTTCAAAACCTTTCCAAAGGATTTAATTTTGCTGGTTTTTTGTTGTTTCTTTTTTTTTTTTTTTTCATGTATGTCACCTTTGGGCTTAAGTTCACTTTCAAGACTGTAAAACTTTACCAAAACTGGGGAACAGCCTTCTGAGACAGGCAGGGATGTGGCTGTGTGGTGCCCATGCTGCAGGACCCACAGAGTGAATGACCAATATTTGTAGGGCTTTCTCTCCTCTTTGCCCTTTCAGGGCTGCTTTATGAGGCAAAGCGTTTGCACACACGCTGAAAGAAGGCACTGTTCAATTATGATGGATTTAAGGGGGGTTGTGTGTATGTGTAAAATCATGTGGTTCAGGTGTGCAGTTATGGCCACAGTACTCCTTCCTCACTTTCAGATCCCATTGAAACCAACTGCTTTCATCCCACCGAGCTGAAAAATCCTTTTGCTTCTGCTTCTTTCTTTTCTATTTTGTCTTACAGAAGCTGTCTGGGAAACTGCTTGGGAATAACTTTTCTGGTTTTAAATATTCTTCTTAAGCAATCTCCTGTTATTTTTTACTTTTATATTTCCATCTATTTAACTTATTATTCCCAAATACCAAGTCTTTTTGATTTTCCAATGCATAAAGAAAGAAAGATTTACTTTGGAAGTTGTACAAAAATGGAAGTCATGGTAATCATTATTTGATGTCCTTGGAACACACTTTATTTACTATTTGGTTTTATTAGGACATTGTTCAAATGTAACTTAAAGCCCAACAAGGTTTCAGGACTAATCTCCTGGGAGAGGATATTTATGGTCCATATTTTCAGAGAGGGAGATTGGAAGTAGAAAAAGGCTTAAGTATTTAGGCCTTGCTTTAACTCTGAAGGCAGGGGAAATCTGCAAATAGTTACTTGACCAGTTAAAGGAGAGGGTGGCATGTGCAGATGCCCAGCTTCAAGGGGCACTTGCATTCCATGTGTGCTCATTCCAAGCAGAAACATGGGCCTTAGATTGTGTGCCTTACTGCAGGGGAACTGACCTATTTTTCTGGAGAGGAAAAATCTACCATAAAAATCTAATTTGCAAGGATTGTGGGAGTGGAAACAGGGCTGGTTTTTTTTGTCTCTAGGATATTTGGTTATGCAAACAAATTGATGAAGGAGAAACTTCCAGCAGGAAAACTGTTGATGGTGCTCAGTGTCACTCAATTAATTGTAACACTCTTGAAAGGGAAGTGAAATAATGGTGAATCTTTCAGAGAATCAGAGAATCATCGAATGGCCTGGGTGGGAAAGGACCTTAAAGATCCTCTAGTTCCAGCCTCTCACCATGGGAAAGGACACCTTCCACTTTGTTCTAAGCCATAATTTTGTGTCCAGTGTAGAGCCTAATGGTTTTTCCTCCTTAATTAATGCAGCTTTTTGCATGACACTGTCCTGATTGCCTTCCTCCTGCAGACACTGACCATTAGGAAGACACTGCTGCAGAGTCTGAAACCAAACCAGCCTATTCCTTGTTCTCAAGTCATCTTGGGTTAGAAGCTGCTGAAAAACTTCCTTCTGGATAAATAACTGTGATGTCCCCATCATCCGCAGAATTGGATTCCTTCACTGGGATTGCTGAAACACTGGTCTGCTCCAAGGTTTCTCTCATAGATGAATAGTTCAGCTTCACAACAGGAGTGAGAAAAGTTTAAATGCTTTAGGGCTCACTCTCAGGCACAAGACTTTATTATTTGAGCTTTTGTTTGGAAATAAATTGAGTTCTTGTCATAGATTGGGCATCTTATCCCCTGCTTCTTACATATCAAACTTTCTCATAATTCTGGAAGAAGATTCAAGTGTTTGTTCTCTTTCTTTTATTGGCACTCGTCTTTATTTATTTATTTTGTATTCTTGGGATGTGCTGCATCTCTGGAGTTTGTATTTCTACTTTTACCATAAAAATGCTGTACATAGAAGTCTAGAATGCATCTGAAGATTAGTCTAATTTTTCATGTGACTTTGACTTGAACGTTTTTCTATTTATGTTTATATTGCTATTTCAAATATGTTCATTACCTGTATTCTTTATGCTTGTTCCCCATCTCTCTAACTCAATAAAATAATGTCCCCATTCTTCAGAGCCATGTCCCGTGTGCGTGACAGTGATAACAGTTTCTGAATAATAATGACTGATAATTTTAAATGTGCTAATCTATATTTATATCTATTTCTATGTCTATATGTGTCTGTCACAGCCTGAAATTCTTCTGATGTGGGATTTGAGACCGTGAAAAATTACCAGGAAGTGGTAAGCTCAGCTCAGGAATAATTCTTCATAAGTCTTTTTGGACTTGAAAGGTAGATTTTCCTGCTCCATAAAGGTTTATGTTCTTTATTTCAGTTCTCGTCCATGGCTAAATTTAGAACTGATATTACATGAATCAGTGGAGTGTCACCCATTTCACCAGGAATTTGTGTGAGGACAGTACTTCCCTGTGCAGCTCTTGGAATTGGTGCTTGGAACAGGACCTGGCCCTGCCTTGTGAGAGTCCTTTAGGCAGATTCTCAGCTGGCATGAACCAGCCTCATTTCCTTGACATTAGTGGAGCTCTTCTGGTTTTGCTCACCGAACACCTCAGAGTTTACCTGCATTTAAATGCAGCTTGTTTCTGTGAATCACAAACTTTTTAAAGGAATTTGGTTGGGTTTTTTTGTAACCCTCTCTACTCAGGAAAAGAGTACCATGACCTAGGAGATCTGTGGGCTGATGGAAGCCTTAGGCCTTTAACTAGAGAACTTCATCCTCGTCATGCGGATCTTCCCATTCCTTGCAACTCCCCTGATTTTCTTTTGCTGGATAGATCCAGTGAGGTGCTCAGTTCTGTGCTGAGGCATAGTCTTGACTGACATGAACAGATGCACAAATGGATGCAGGACTGAGGCTTTAATGAGGAGATTTCTGAGTCTGGAAACAGGCTTTGATCGTAGAGTCAACTTATCAAAATTCTGAGTGCTCTGAGCATTCATGGACATTAAAGTCCCTCAGAGCAAGGGCATGAAACCATTCAGTGCCTCTCCTACTTTGGGGAGATTCAGCTTTTTTTTGGCTTTTTCTTTGGAAAAGACATTCAGTGCCAGCAGAAACTTGAGGCCATTGTACAATGCTGGCTTTTTATTGCTGTAATATTCCTTTGGGTCTCAAAGGTTTAGTGAAGTCAGTGGGAAATTTTCTGTCATTTTCAGTGTGTTGGGAACATGTCCTTGCTGCAAGTAAGACTCCATCATATACTGTTTACAAAGCAAAGAGAGAAGGACATTTCTGGCCCTTATCTGTTTAATGCTGTATGCCAAGCCTCTGTTGAGGATTTTAAATCATACAAATTGCAAAATATCCCATTTAAATAGAACAAAGGCTGAACCAACTCAAGCTATGGGCTATTTAACACAGGGGACGGGCAATAGGGCCTCCAGGGAGAAGCCTGAGGATTGTGAGTAGTGACAGTGGTGATGGGGACAGGTGGCTTCTCTGACCTACCTACACTTCCATCACTGAACTGAGGGGAGCTCTATTTTCTCATGTCCGCAAGAATGACAGCTCCTGATTCCTCTTACATCCTGGGGGCATAGTATACACATCTAGACATCTCCAATCAGAAACAAGATTTGTTCCTGTAAACAAACAGCTGGGGCTGGCTTCTAATTAAGGTTTCTATTAATAAGGCATCTTCTTTAGGTGAGCTACTGCTGCTGTTTTGCCAAAAGCATCTTCATTAATTTCTTTTCAGCTTCTCCTTGTCATTATTAGAGCATAGGAAGCAAGTCAATGGTTTAATAAGCTTGAGTTTCAGACTAGGATAATCAAATAATTTTTATTCCATTTATCAGCTTTTAATTTGCAATAAAAGATTAAATTTAGATGAAAATATCTTCAACCTGAAAAGGAGATTTTGCTTAGAAGTTGACTGTCCTTAACCAGCACCTAGCTCTTTGCTTGAGCTTTGTGCCTGTAGTTACAAGAAAAAAGATCCAAGGTAAACACAGCAGAAGCCACCTAATGATAAGAAGAGTGATGGACTGAAATCCACCGAGGTGAAGGTGGTGCAAAAACCTGTCTAGGATCAGGTTCTTAATCCCAGGATCCAGTCGCATCCCCTTGTGAGCATGTTTGCAGCAAAAGAACCTTGCAGAGCATGTGCCTGCCATCAGCCTGATTCGGCTGCCAACACTCTGCTGAATGCTGAGTTCATTCATTATTATTGCTGGCTTTTCAGGAGGCAAGATGAGCAAAATCAACATCAATCTCCAACAGATGGGACTATGGGAGGGCAGCTGCAGGCATTTGGTGCACTACATACGGCAGGCGAGCGCACGTGGAATCCTCTGCCCCCGGAGCTCCGGTGTTTCCGTACCACGGGCAGCAGGAAAATACAATTATCTGAATTAACTGCCTGCAAATCCCTGCACTTTGTGCCGCCCACTCGGGAATTTAGGCAGGACCCAGGAACACTGAGCACAGAGGTGCCATTCCTCACGTGGCAGCGGTGGAAAAGCACATTCCTGCCTATGTGAGATGAGCAGGGGCATTCCTGCAAGCCTCTTGCCTTTTCTTTTTTGTTCTTTGTGCTCATTCTGTTTTGTTTTTCAGGCTGGCAAATGAGATTACAGAAAATAAAATGCAGAGGAAACGTGTAAACAAGATTACTAGGGCAAAACAGCGCCTCTCAGCACATTAACTGCACTGGGAGATGTGAGGCTGGGGCAGGGCTGGAAGCATTTTTTGCCTGGGTACAGCAGATGCAGGCAGAAAATATTAATTATGTGCTCTGAGAGAGCTGTTCTCACCCTGTTCAGAGTGCTGACAAACTGATGGTGGGAAAGAAGCACAAAGAGTTCAACTTGTTAGGGATATTTTTATTATTCTTTCACCCCAAAACATCGTTTTGAAATCATGTTGGATTTTGACAACTTTCAAAGAATCTCAGCTGTCATTTTGCTGTGTCTCAGGCATGGACCCACACACACTTGGCTCTGTGGATACGACACAAGAGCTGTCATAAGATGAGAAATCTGATAATAACCAAAAATGTTTTGTTGGTGATATAGAGGGGATACTTTTAGTTGGATTCTTTGCTCTTGGTTTAAAATGCTCGGTTGTTGATGCAAGCCCTGTCTGCCCAGTCTGTTTCAAGAGCTGTGAACTCTTCACTTCGGGAGCTCTGCAGAAGGAAGGGGCACAGGAGAAATAAAACTAGCTCGTGTTTAAAAAAAAACAACCACATCACGACAAATCCTCCACCTTTCTGCTTGCTGGCAGAATCTCTGCTCCCTCCCATGCAGTCCCAGCTGGAGAGCCTTTACTTGCAGCAAAGCCACTCTGGTTGTGACAGTCCCTTTCCACTCACTGCTCCCTTTTCTTTCCCTCCTAGGGAGCAGCAGCTGCCACCACAGCCCCTCTTTTCTGCCTCCAAGGGGCTCCCCACTTACGTAATTTGCAGAAGACAAAGGAAGAAAATATTGAATAGATTCCAGACAGGGTCAGGCAGATTTTTGTAGTGGCAGACATTAGCAGGTCCAGTGCTGCAGTGAGCATCCTGCTTCAACTTCAGGTGTAGTCAAATCTTTCACCCAGGCCCTGAACCTGCCTCACACACAAAGCCAGGGCAGAGGAGCTCTGTGCTCATGTGCTTCTGGGTTTAAAAGTGCCTTTCAGGCCAGAGTTGAACCTGGTGTTTGGAGTGAGGCTAAGTTAATGGGCTGGGGGGAATGTGGCTGGGTGGGAGCTTTTTTGCACATGACTGGCCAAAATCGGTCTCTTTAGCAGTGCCAGGATCAGTGCTGCTGCTGAGGGGTCATCTAGGGAGAGTGTTCCCTTATCCCCTCTCTGCCAACCAGGGGAAGAAAGGAATAAGTATCTTGAGCAACCTGGTCTGGTGGAAGGTGTCCCTGCTCAGGCTAGGAGGATGGAATGAAGTGGTCTTTAAGCTCCATTACAATCCAAACCATTCTGTGACCTTATTAAACTATGCTGAATCCTGGTTGAGTCAAGGACCAGTAGTTTCTGTCATTAAAGAGCAAAGCTCAAAGCAGCTTTTGGGAAGAAGATGGGGTAGAAGGCACAAATTAATTTTCCTCTGCTCACTCTGGGGTCTGCCTCATTCCTGCCCATCGATGAGATGGATGCCAGCGTGGAAGCTGGGCACAGATGTGTGCTTCAGTAGCTAATGAGGTGTGACTGCTTCCCTTCTTGCTCAGGAAGCACAGCACAGTGCTCCTTTCTCTGCCACAGGCGATCCTCCTGGACATCTGAACAGGGATTCTAACGCTCAGGGAAGGAGACGTGTCAGAGGGTGAGGAATGAGCAGAGCAGCCTTTGGGGACTGAAGGGGCAGCAGCAGCCTTAGTGCAGTTTGTGTGTTGGCTAAGGACTGTTTTATAAATGGAGCACAGCTATCATCCCTCAGGTGCTTGGAGGTTACAAACCTCTCTGGAGGATAACCAATTATTTGGATTGGCTTAAACAGGATGACTCACTGCAACAGTGTGGAGCCAAGATACCTGTGTGAACACCTCAGCAGAGAGTCACAAACAAGGCTGAGGGGGAAAAGAAATCCCATCTGTCAGTGAAGAATTTGCACAAAACCTCCTGATTGCTAGAATTCCATACCCTGGTATTCCACGAGTTTCACAGAATCATGGGATGGCTTTGGTTGGAAGCCTTAAAGCCCATCCACTTCCAACCCCCTTCCGTGGGGGACACTTTCCACTAGGTTGCTTAGAGCCCTATCTAACCTGGCCTTGGACTTTTTCTGGGATGGGGCAGCCACAGAAACATCTCTGGGCAAGTTTCTTTCAAGTCTTTCTCTCATTGACCCTGCACAGCTCAGGTTGACAGGTGAATAGGGTGTAAGAGCAAACCCTTTCCTGTCTGGTTACAGAAATTGCTACCTTTGCTCAGGTACACTTTGCTCTTATCCTAGGAGAACGATGGACTAGAGATCAAAATTCTCCTTTCAGAGCCTTCCCAATGCCATTCTCCATCCTCTATCATGCATCCCTGAGCCTCACTGGCACTGCCTGGCTATGCAGGTGGAGAGGTGGAGAATACCCAGGCTCAACACCACA